ATTTCTGCACTTTTTTATTGGTTTGGAACAAATGCATTTTTTTTTTCCAGACAGGGTTTCTTTGTGTAGCTTTGCGCCTTTCTTGGAACTCACTTGGTAGACCAGGCTGGCCTCGAACTCACAGAGATCCACCTGCCTCTGCCTCCCGAGTGCTGGGATTAAAGGCGTGCGCCACCACCGCCCGGCTCTTTTTTTGTTGTTTTTTTTTTCAAGACAGGGTTTTTCTGTGTAGTTTTGGTGCCTGTCCTGATTTCACTTTGTAAACCAGGCTGGCCTCGAACTCACAGAGATCCGCCTGCCTCTGCCTCCTGAGTGCTGGGATTAAAGGTGTACACCGCCACCACTGCCCGGCTAAGGGTTTCTTTTCAGTTTTCCAGATGAAGCCCCTCAGGAGATAGTCTGTGTTTCACTGTGCAAGAGTGAGCAGTCCTTTGAAAATCAGAGGCTACACTGCTACCAGCCGGACACTTCAACACTAGGGTTGCCCCTTGATCACATGCTGCCTGTCCTGTGCACCTTACTGGAGAGCTACTGTGATTTGTAGCTGAATTCCCTGCTTTGCAGAGACTCGAGTCCATCCTATCCTGGACATAGCCCTCCCCAGTGTCAGCCCTGACTACCACAACCCTAGATGGAGACAGGCGGCTTCATGGGATGTCACCACTTTCCTTGAGCCTCCCTGGGTAAGGAACGCCTTCAGCGCGGGCTCCTCAACCCACTGATAATTGCACTAAACTTCCCGACACCATGCAAGCTTCTAGCTGTGTCAAATCCATTAAAACTGAGGAAAGTCATCTCAATTGACTCTGCACATCTTTGGGAAATTCACCCCCTGGGATCCCCTTGAGAATTAGCAGGGCTCGGCTAAGCTGAGTAATTACCAGGTAGCCAATTTCAACTCATATTTTGGTACAGCTTTGAGCGTGTTAAGACAGTGCCATATTTATTGTAGGAAAGTGCATTCACACGTTGTAAAATGTAGCAAACTTGAGGTAGCCTCTGATATGAGCTACGCGAGATTGGGGCTCACAGCTGTTAGTTAATGGGACAGATCTGTTTTTAGAGACAAATGTGATCAGTTGAGCATTTGACTACCACATCCATCTAACTGGAGGATATTCCTATGCAAATGCACAGCAATAAAACTAAGAGCACAACCACCAATAGATGATGTTCTGGTTTGTAGTAACCTGCTCTCCTGGATTTCTACACAAGACTTTTCATGTTTCGGATTATTGAACAAGAGACCCTAAACAGCGTTAGTCTAGTAGAGTCTCTTATTCAGAAGTGTCTGGTTCTGTATGTGGGTTTTAAGACCTTTCTATAGTTCATCTCTTGTTTACTCTGACTTGTCTGTTACTTCAGTTGATCCACGTATGCTTGTTGGGGTTCAGGTTTATAGAGACTCTGTATTTATTACTTTCCTTCTTACTGAGACAAAATACCTTTGAGGAATGACTGAGGTAGGAGAACCTCATCTGGGTTATAGCTTGAAGATGTGGAGTCCAACACGATGGAGAAGGCATCCAAACAGGTGGCACCATGGTGGAGGAGCATGTAGCTGGGGCTTTTCTCCTCCTCACATCCTGTCAGAACAGGAAACAGAGGGTGGGCTATGAGCATCAAGGGTATTCTTTGAGCATCAAGACATGCCCTTTAGAGAGAAGCTTCTTCCGGCCAGCCTTTACCTACCAAAGGATTCACAAACTCCTGAAAGAGCTACTCCAGTTTTGGATCAAGTATTGAAACAGCTAGTGGGAGACATTTCGCATTCAAACCATGGGGTTCATCCCCACCCCAGCACATGCCCATGAGTCTCAGGTGACTCTATGAAGTCATCAAACACCTGGATTCCTTCTGTGTTACTCATCCACCAACTTGGGGCACCTGCCTCATCCACAGCAGCCAGAGCTGTGTATCATCATGTGGATGCTCCAGCCTGAGGGAAGGGGTCAGCGGGAAAGTAAGGACAAGCTCCCCTTCTCTATAAGTGTGAACTGCGAGTGGCATGGGTCTCTTGTGTTCACATTTTACTGGTCTAAAGTGAGAGGCCCATCTCTGCACAGAGTCATAGGAAAGTCTGGGGAACATACTCTCTTTGTGTCAGACATGTTCCCAAATGAAAATTTTGTCCTTGGAGAAGAAAGGAAAGCAAATGTTAGGCAATATTGTCCCTGCTGCTGTTCGCTGGTCCTGGCTCAGAGCCGGCTCTTACTTGGATTTTTGGATCACCATCTTCCTCTTGCCTCATTATTTGGATAAAATTTTAGCTGCTTCTGTGAGAACTTAGTTTTCCTTAGCCCTTTCGGTTAACTGTAAATATTCTGAGAACACATCATTCTAAGTCCTGTTCTCTGGCATCAATCAGCCCGATTGACTCATAGAATCTTTGGATGTTAAATGTTACTTTTTATCTCCTTACTAGGCCTAAGGTGGAGACTCAGTATGTGCCTATTGTTGAAGAATCAGAGGTTTAGCAGTGTGTGCACACATGCTTCTCAAGATGCCGTGAGAACAAGGGCTTGGTAGTAGTCGCTGGCTGCCCAGTTTTTATGTGTTTATTTATACATACTTTTGCAGAATGGAATATTTGTGGCTCATCATCCTTTAGAGTTAATGTACAAAATGCTGTTCATGAATCATTTATATACTGTCCTTCTCATACCCTTTGCCCAAACATGCATGTCCTATTCTTGGCATGTTTTCTGCTGTCTTCGTATAATAGGACAGCTGAGCCAAAAGCTTCATCCCTCCATACTTTTGACGCATTGTTAATCTTTATACTAAACTTATAATATTCTGTTGATGCCCCCAAAAGGCACTTACAATGTTCCACGCTGGCACTTTTTGTATTCGCGGCAGTACATTCTTGATTGGAAAGTTTCTCTGTTGGAGGCTCAGCAGGAAACAGATGGCTCATACAAATAGAGTAATTAGGAAGTTGTTTAATAAAGAAACTATTTAGAAAGATACAGCAGGGCAAAGAAAAGCCAACTAGGGATGGTAAGCCCACTGGGGTCAGCACCCCGGGAAACCACAGTCCCTAGACTGAGGGGGGGCCTGGGAGGTGTCAGGCTCCAGAAGCAGTAGGTAGGGCCTATGGGGCAGGGCTTCTCTGTGGAGGCATAGCACTAAGGTGTCAGGAACCATTTCTACCTGCAGGGATGATGGGAATAAAGGCCTCCATTTCATCCTCCCATCTTCTCTGATGTAACTCCTCTCTTTGGTAGAATCCAACTGCAGTCCTGAGGTTGGTTGGTAAATTCTTGAAGGAATCACTTCCAGGGCCCAGAGCTCCACAGACAGAGAAGGTAGACAGGAGACCTAGAAGAACAAATGGAAAATACTCAGTGTGGAAACGTCCATTTTTATACAGTGCCTCCCAAAGCTGCCAGCTATAATTTTTCATTTTGTTTTCTTACATTTCTAGGAAGCAGCTGAAGACACGTAATTGGTGGTACATTATAGCCAAGCACCTGCCTTTCCTGTTGTCTGCTTTTACTTTGGGTGCCAACCTCGCAGCGTAATGAATTCAGAGTAGATTGTATATTGAAAACATTGAAACTGAAATGAGTCTGTTCCAATAATATCATTTCAGATCTCTAAAGCTGGAACATTATTCAACTTAACATTTAATTGAGCAAAGCCATTCTTTGCAAAAATTCAGTACTATCAAGAGTTTACAGTATGAGCAAAAATATGGGACTATAATAGAGGTCATCTCTTTTGTCTAGAGGGCTCCATCCCTGTGATATCTGGTGATGTAGACGACTTCAACACCATATGTTTTAACAAATACTTTGGGTCAGAAGGGTGTGTATAATGGAAGGATATAATTAAAGTTTAATCTGCTCAGTAAAAAGGCACCATTAATTACTCTGGGCAATTTGTTGGATTATTAATTGGTTCTGGAAACATGTCAAGATACTAATTTAAATGGAACTTTCCCCCTAATTGTCTAGACAGCTCCTCGACCATATACTGCCCCAGGAAATATGCAGCCTCCAATTCGATTGCAGCCTCTTCTCAGTAATCGCTCAACGAGAAATGTTTCAAAGATAACTTCAGGGTCCAAACCCAGAACCTCATTGCTGGAAAGTGAAGCTCCATTTCCTATTGGGGTAAATGCTATGCTCTTTATAAGAAATATTTTTTTAAAAATTATTGATTAAACTCGTACTATCAAAGGTTTTAAGATGCCATGTTCAGTTCATCCACACAGTGAAACTTATTCTGTACATTCATTAAGCCCTTACTGTGTACTTCTGATGAACTCTATCTTTCTGTGACTGGAAGGCCTGTTTATGTAATTAAACAGAATCTGTAAGGGATGGATTTGTAATGATATTCAGCAGTGCTAGCTCACTGTGAGAAAGCTAGATGAGAAACAAAGAAGTCTTTTCACAGCCACAAATGACTGTCCTCAGAAGTGACCTTGTGTGGACTCCTTGCAGATTTAAACATAGGAGAACCAGACATGCTGGTCTGTGTTTGCATTGGGACAAGCTTTTCTATCAGTGTGTGGTTAGGAAGGGAAGTCTATCATTCAAACGTGCTGAACTCATCATACCCAGGGGACTGACAAGATTATGTCTTGGAAAATCTTCGCCCATCAGAGTATGAGAAGTCTAGGAGTGCCTTCTGTGGAACAGATTCTACCTAGACCGGGAGGAGGACTAAGCCAGACCATTCCTACACTGGGGAGAGACAGTTTGTGTTTCTAACTTGTAGAAACATTTGCTAGCTTAAGAGTTTGTTGTAGACGAATTGCTACAGTTTGTGTCACAAACATAATTGCAAATAAATGGATGAATGTGCTTCATTCCTTACTATGTAAATGCCACCCAGGAACCTAAGACACTGTCCCCTTTCATTGACAAATGCCCTTCTTTCAGATAAATAGGTGTGTGTACTTCATACTAAATACATACATGCAGCTGCGGCATCCCAATCCATTGAATGTGGTTTTAGTTCATGAGAATGTTTACACACCTTATTCAGTTAATTTACCGGTAGCTTCTTTTTTTTTTTTTTTTTTTTGGTTTTTCGAGACAGGGTTTCTCTGTGTAGCTTTGCGCCTTTCCTGGAGCTCACTTGGTAGCCCAGGCTGGCCTCGAACTCACAGCGATCCGCCTGGCTCTGCCTCCCGAGTGCTGGGATTAAAGGCGTGCGCCACCAACGCCCGGCCTACCGGTAGCTTCTTAAAAGCTAGGAGAAAGTTAATTGGGAAGTGGTGGCTTTTTGTTTGTAGAAACTGTTTGGAGTGAGGCAAGCTCCTGGGTCTTAGATCTAGGGTCCAATTGAAGGCACATACTTGCTATTTCAGCCACTGTCCAGGAGTAGCCAGGTCCTATGGGATCACTTCAGGCTACTTAAAATAACACAGAAGCAGGATCCTATCACTTTATAGTAATCCAAAATAGGAGATTGGCCTGATCAGGGGCCAGTAATTCACCAAGCTTGTAGGAACAATGTTGTCTCCCAGGCTGGCTCAGAGTCACTTGAGAGACAGGATCACAATCAGGAGGTTGCCTGGTGACCGAAGAATCAGAATGGGGCTATGTCTCAAGGCAGTGTTCCTGGATCAGGTTAAGGCTTCCTGGGGCATTCATCTCATCTTAGCAGTGGGCTTGCCAAAAGTACCCGAAAACTCACAGGTCTTTGCCTAAAACTCTCTGTGTCCTCCAGGGTTAGCTTTGCCATTTGGGCTGGACATACTGAAAGCCTGATGGGTAGTACTTCCTCCCTACTAGGCAATCCTCCAATGGGTGCTTTCCATGTTTGCCAAGGTGATTACATTCTTCCCAAACTTATATAGTTCTGAGTTCTACTTTGGTAAATTTTCTTCCTAGACTTAAGAACACTGATAGTGAGATGACACATGGTTTTTGGCTCCCAGCAGCTGATTTTTTTCACTTTCAATGATTTTCCCCCAGATTTACTCTGAGACACTGTATGCAAGTAATAACTACATATACACACATGGTGACATATAATATAACTCAAGTGTTGAGAGTGTGGGTTATTGAAGGAAAGGCACTAGGTAGCTCACATGCACCAACAAGATGAAGATTGATTTTGTGTTAGTTTCAATTGCCTAAATTGAATATTTAAATATTTTGAGCACTTATGATAGACTCGGTACTGAAGAACAAGTGTTATTATTGATTATCAAGGAAGACACCAGTAACTTATTGGAGCTTACTATGTAATATGCATAAGCAAAGTAGACTATGAAAAGAGACATGGTTTTATAAGTGGTATTGATGGTGAAAGTGTTGACCACTAGACGAACTCCTCATGACAGACAGTGGTCTGTATGTTGTTAAGTATGTATTGGGCACTGGGTTGACCCTTCTTGCTTTACTGAAGGAGTGATGGGTATACCAATGTGAGGACTGGAAGTGCCACAGGTAAAACCAGGTTGAACTTGTCATAGCAGTCAGGTGAGCATCTTTAGGAAACAGTGACTTGGTCCACAACAGGTTGGTTTTGATGCCATTAATCATGTGGCAAACACTGCCAATGTTGAGAGGGAGTCTCTTCTGCCATGAGAAATCAGCATACATATTTTCAAAGCACTGCTTGGAAGATCTACCACCGTTTTAACATGTAGGGATCTACCCACGGAACAAGGCACATGTATGCAAAGGAAGAGTCAAGATTGCTTTGAACTGTCATATTTACAGTAGTGAACAACTGGGAAAAGTTTTTCCCATAATAAAGTATAGTTTAAGGTGCTTAAGTACCTAAAAATACACTATGATTGTATGTAACAGTTTAGAAAATTATCCAATATATCATCAGTTAAAAATAGAAAAAGATTAAAAATATTCTTAAAATCATTTCCAAAACAAGACAAGCACCTGATACCAGTTATGCTATTTATTTTTAAAAGCAATTAAAATTTCCAAATTCTCAATGTCCTAGATTAATTAATTTTGATATTTATGTCATGTGCATTTACTTTTAGTTTGATATCCTAGGCTCAATGCAACCTATTGCAGAAAGAAATTGGAAACAAAATAAGAATGCCCAATGTAATTTAACATCCAAACAGTAGAATCTGCTTACACAAAAGTGCTGGTTTTATTCAAGATTTGAACTAGACATGCTTTGACTTACTCTGCTTTTGTTTACTTAGTAACCAGTGCCCTTTGGAGAACTTCCTTTTCTAAAAATAAAATTTTACTATTAAGCATTTCAAAATTTAGACTAAATTGGCTGGAAATTAATTAGGAATACAAAAATATATTGTAAATTTATGTTGAGTAAGTGTAAATAATTTTTTAACAATTTAAAAAAATTGGTGTAAAATAGATAAACATATCTAAAGATTCCATAAAATGTGGAAATATCCTTCAGATACACAAAAATAACCAATTTATAAAAATGTTTAGACTCAGATCTGTCTGGTAAAAATTATTGGTTTTACTTATAAATCCTTTAAATGATTAAAGTGAGGCATTTTGATTAAACCCTCAAGCAACATAAAGAAACATCCCACAAGGATAAATTAATGTTTGAAATTTTCCATTTGTTCTTGCTTTTTAAATAAAAATCTACATATAAATTTCTTAAAAGAAGTGTTGCATCATACTGCATGTGCTGATACGTTAGTATAAATGTGCTTATATTACTATACCCCGGTGAGAAATATATAATCTAATTAAAGAAACAAAGCAAAATTTAATTCTTTCCATATATATATATATATATATATATATATATATATATATATGTTGCTAAAGTTTTTATGGTTCAACTGAATTTGTATGTATGTATGTATGTGCACACATATTTAAATACCATACACACATATAGGTGCATGCCCAAATACACATTTACAATAGAGTATTAGTACTTGTATTTAATATTAATAGTAAATCTGATATAGGATTTATTCCTGCTTGCAGGATTTCTAGATCAAAGAGTATTCTCTTTGAAACTTGGTGAATCATTTTGTTTGTCCTTCACAAAGTCTGAAGTAATTCAGTGTACAAGCTGGCGTGTGATCACAGCCTTGCTTCTCCTACCTGCTCAAACCTTGGGATGTGTGAAGTCTGAATGTGAGGACAGTACTTCCTGTTGCTTAGTGCACTGGCCAGCCCTACCTCAGAGTCCAACCCTGCATACCTCCTGGCATGAAATTAACTAAATTAATTTTCCCTTGAGTGCTGTTCCTAAGTTTTCTATTAAATCTACATTTACACAAGGTTAAAAACATGTGCTTATTAAATTTGCAACAGATACAAAAATGTGATTTTAATAGATTCAAGTGTGTGTGTTGGGTTGGTCTGTTGTTTTCGGCTGGGCTTGTATGCCGTGCCAATTGTCCAGGCTTGCCTTTGATTAGGGGCTGTGTTGGGGCTCTGCTTGTGCGTCACGGGCTCTTACATCATGGTGTGTGATTACAGGGCAAGAAAGCAATGATGAAATTCAGGAACTACATGGACAATTCCCAGAGGCCGGATACCTACCAACTTCCAGACATTAACAGTTACCTGACACCTATCCCCCCGACACCCCAACCTCAAGCAGGAAAGATCTCCAGGGAGAACAGGTCCGAGCCTTGGAGGAGGAAGAGGCTGCGTCCCATCACGGCTCCAAATGGCTTAGAGCCCCTCTACACCAGGGTGACTATGGATCAAATGTTCTTTTATTACTGTAACACTGATGACTTCACACCAGCTGAGTTCTAGATCTGTAGTAGAATTTTCTAGAATCAAGTACAAAACTGCATTACACAAAGAAGTGCATTATTTTTGTAAGTACAGCTATAAACACGTCTGAGTAGGTCAGCTGAATAGCTGATTTATCATCATTGATGATAGAAGACTCAGGAAGTCTTGTGGCCAGATTTAGTTTGACTGACTCCAGTTTTGTTTCCCTTAATTTGATCATTCAGAGCATCTTAACATTTAATTCATGAAAATTCATGGATTTAAGCATAGCTAGAAAGTGTAATAGCTATAATTTTATTTTTGATGGTTTATTGCAAATTTGTGAATATTGGCTACAGTTTTTTTCAGTGTTCTTTGAAAATGCTGTGGTTTTCACACATTCTCCCCAAAGCATTGATATAGCACATGCAGATGAACTATATAACAGCTTCAGTCTAGTAAGAGAGCCGAGGACATCTTTTTCGTTTGGCAAATACACAACCACATTAATGACATGGAACTTCTCTGACTCTTAGCAGATAGTGGAGTTGACATTTTCCAGAGTTAACATCAAGTAGGGAAGTACCAAAATGCATACACACTCTACATCCTGCAATTCCAAGTCAGCCTCATCTCCAATACCCTTTCCAAGCCCCTGGTCCGCATCTAACCCTCAGCAGCTGCCCTCCCTTTGAATCTTCTCAAAAGGCCAGGGCTTTCTTTTCCCCCTATTTCAACTTGACTTATTTCCGTTTGATTTCCTCTAGTTCTTTCTCTCTGATGCTGTCTCTGGAAGAGCCTTTGCTCCTACTCCTGAAGACTCCTTTGCCCCGAGTGCCCCATCTTTGAGTGACATTGCACTCTGCAGTTTTTGTCTCCAGCCTTCTTGGCACATTTCCTCTGGTTTTTTGCAGAGGGCAGGTTTTACATAGAGTTATCAAATTCTTTCCATGTAGACTGAACCTTAGACCAGGTTTCTCTTTTCATTTACATTAAAAAAACTATTCTTTGAAAATTTCACACTTAACATATTTTTTATCTTTTATACTCCCAACTATCTCTCTCCAACTGCCCCCGAAACCCACCAACTGACTCCTGCCCAACTTCATGTCTATTAACATTATTATTATTATTAATTATCTCTCTAATCCATTCGTGCTGATCATTTACAAATGATTGTGGGGCTACCACTAGGGTGTGGGTAACCTATCAGTGCCAACATCCCCAAATGAAAGTGACTATCTCTCCCTTAACACCAACAACTGCAAAAAGCTCCTCAGTTGGGGGAGGGGCTCAGGAGCTCATCCCAGTCCCTGCTGGAGCAGCGACTGGCTTGATCTTGGGCAGGCAAACACAGCTGTGTGAGCTATGTGTGTACCAGCCCAGTCAAGTTCAGAAGCCAGTGCTTCACAGCTCCTCTCCAACCCCCACCTCTTACGTTGTTTCTGATCCCTCGCCCTCAATGTCCCCATGAGCATTCCTCATCCCATCCCTTGGTGCTAATGCAGAGTGACTCATTGTAGATGTAACCAACTGTCTTATTAAAATAAGAAACACAGAACCAATGTAAAAGAGAAAGTTGAGAGGTCAGAGCTCAGAGCTAAAACCTTATCTCCTGCAGTGCTCCTAGCTTCCCGAAAAGAGAGCTACTTCCTGTTTGTCTGTCTTTAAATAGTCTTTCTGTTCTGCCTTCTCATTGGTTGTAAACCCAACCACATGACTGCCTTGTCACTGCCTGTAAGTACCGCCCTCCAGGTCTTAAAGGCATATGTCTCCAATGCTGGCTGTATCCCTGAACACACAGAAATCTACCTAGCTCTTCTAACCACCACGCTCTTGCTATGGCTCTAATAGCTCTGACCCCAGGGCAACTTTATTTATTAACATACAATTAAAATCACATTTCAGTACAAATAAAATACCACCATAACTCATCTTTGCTTCATTGTTTACTGAATTTCATTGATATCTGCTGTAACGCTTCCCATTTTATTTATAGATCTATTCCCTCCCCTCCCCTCCTCCCAATCTTATTTTTCTTTTTGAAGAACCAACTTTGTTTTATTGATTCTTTGTGGTTTTTTACTTTTATTTCACTGATTTTGGTTATCTCTTCCTATCTACTGTTTGTGGATTTGTTTTGTTCTTGTTTTCCAGGGCCTTAAGGCATGTACATAATTTAATTTGAGATCTCTCAAGCCTTTTGATGTAGGCACTTGGCACTATTGAAATTTTAATTAATTAATTAATTAATTAATTAATTAGAGACAGGATTTCTCTGCTTAACAGCCCTAGCTATTCTGGAACTTGCTTTGTAGACCAGGCTGGCCTTGACCTCACAAAGATCCACCTACCTCTGTCTCCTGAGTGCTGGAATTAAAGTCATGCCCTACCACTCCAGTTGACTGTTTGAAGATTGTCTGACTTGTGTTTGATAGATTTTTGGTATTTTGTACTTTCATTTACTTAACTCTAGACATTTTTTAAAAATTCCTTCTTAATTTCTTCAGTAACCTGATAATCATTCAGTAGTGTATGTTTAGTCTCTCTGTGTTTGAGTCCTCTATGTACCTTCTGTAGTTTTTTATTGATGTCGATGTCTAGCTTTGTTCCATTGTGGCCAAATAGAATGTGCTATTTTAACTTTCCTGTATTTGTTGGGACTTTCTGTGTATCCCAGTTTTGGAGAAATTTTTCGTGGATTGCTAAGAAGAATGTGGATTATTTAGTGTTTGAATGGAATGTTCTATAGATGTCTTTTAGATCCATTTGATTTATGATGTCATTTAATTCCAATGTTTCTCTGTTTAGATGACCTGTCTACTGTTGAGAGTGAGGTATTGCAATTATTATCACTGTGTTGGGGTTAATATGTGGTTTTTACATCGTTGAGTATTATTTTGTGAAGTTGGATACGTCTGTGTTTTGTATATACATAGTTATAATTATGATGTCTTCCCTTGTGGATTGTTTTTTATTGAGTATGAAGTGTCTTCTTACTGGGGAATTGAGGCAATTAATACCCAGAGTTGTTATTGAAATATGTGTATTAATATCTGTCATTTTATTGATTGTATGACGTTTTCTCAGACATCACTTTATAAACTGTTCTGGTATTATTATTAATTCTCTGGGACTCCTTATGTATGGTTTTCCTTGTTTCTAAACCAAACTATTTTGTGTAGAACTAGCTTAGTGATCATAAATACTTTAGTCTGTTTTTTTTATCATAAAAATTTTTATTTATCCAATTTAATATAGAGTTGTGGTAGGTAGAATAGTCTAGGTTGACAATTGTGGTATTTCAGAATGCGGAATATTGTTTTCAGGCTTTAAAAGTTTGTGCTGAATAATCAACTATTATTCTAGTTGACTTTGACTTGGTCTTTCTGGGCAGTTTTCAATAGTCAGTTTTTATTCTGTGCTCTTAATATTTTAACTATAACATTTCACAGAGAGTTTCTTCTCAGAGTCTATTTAGAGTTCTTATGGTCTGTACCTGGGTACTCATCTCTTTCTCTAGGTTTGAAAACTTTCTTGAAAGTATTTTCTATATAATTAATATTAAACTTCATTTTACTATTCCCATAATCTGAAAATGGACAATTAGGTTTTTTTTCATGGTTTTCCAGATCTCTCCACTGTTTTCTTCATATATTTGAAAACTTATTTACCATCACTGTCTGATCCAATTTCTCTACCTTGTCCTCCAGTCACGATAGTCTGTTTTCTGCACAGTCTGTTCTGTTGGTGATGGTTTCCACTGAGGCTTTCATGTGTGTTGTGAAGTTTTTTATTTCCAGCACTGCTTCGCCTTGGCTCTTATCACTAGTTGTGTCTCTCACGGAGTTCTGCTTTCATGTCTTGTATTGGCATCCTCATTTCGTTCATCTCTGGTTTTGTTCTCCTGAAGTATACTCATTTTTTTCTTTGAGTTGTGTGAATACAGCTATAGCCACACTTTTACACATGTATGCACACATATATAATCACACACACACACATGTGCACCTATCTCTCTCCTTTTGGGAACTCTCTGATGAGGTAGAACTATTCAGCCTATCGCCTAGGATTACTCTAATAATCAACTTTTCTCTCCTGATTCTACTTCTTTGTACTGATGATCTTGTTGTGAGAATCTTCATTTTTATTTGCCACACAGTCTGTTGAGATTTTTGTTCTGATGCCATATTTAAATTCTGATCATGTGTGTCCATTGGCCACCCTTTTATAAAATACTGTACTGAGGGTGGAGAGCTGCCTCAGTGCTTAAGAGCCCCTGTTGCTCTTTCAGAGAACACTGGTTTGATTCCCAGCACTCACAATTATTCATCTACTTTTTTTTAACTCTTAGCATTTTGGAGTTTTAGGTATGAAGTCTGGACTTTTAATGTGTCAACATAGTAGGCAGGTGGTTTGTGTTTAATTCGGTTTGGATATCTGCTCCATTAATGAGTTTAGCCCCATCCCATTCCTTATTGTGATATTTCTCTGGTAGCATCCCTCACACTGTACCTCTGTTTCCTCAAAGCTTTGCTTCTTCCCTTCCAGACTCTGCTTGCCAGGCTCATTTCTCCTACCCTTTTTCTCACCCCCATGACTTTATTTCGTTCTCATCCTTAACCTGAGCATCACCATGGCTTCAGCCTTGATGTTTGTTTCTCTGTTCTGACATCATCATCTCACATAGTTTAACAGTTTGCACATATCTTCTCTAGGTCAGTACAGCCTGAGCTGCAAAATCATCATAGTAAGAAGCCAAACTTCTTCATTCATTGATGAACAAGAGCTCAGTTCTGCCAGTCTCCCAGCCCTCTCTTCCACCTCTTCCAAGCCAGCTTGAATTACTGCTTCAGCTGGAACTTTTTATTCCATGGCATTAACATCTGGAAATATACTTACTTTCAAACTACTTACTGCCTTTTATTCATTAAATTGTCTGTTCTTATATATGTGCTCTGTGAACTTTTAACAAAATATGAAAATTTTATGTTTAATGGCAATACTAATGACATCTATTATTTAGTGAGCCCTTAGAATATAGTATTTAACATATCATGTATACAACAAGCCTAAAAAATGACACACAATTTCTTAACTTTAGAGATGAAGCAAATCAGGTTAAATAAATGGTCCGCAATCACAGAACTCATTAACATCATCCTAAGTATACAGCACAGCAAGCTGAACTGTTGTTGCAATCATCAAACTCAAAAGTGATTGTAATTTATTTTCTCTCAATTCTTGGAATTAACTGTAATTGGTCAGCAGTTTTCTTCAACAGAGAAACCAATTAGACTTCTATATGATAATCCCAGGCACTTGACATACATGATCACCTATCCTTATAAGGACCCTGGAAGGAATCATTGTATCCATGCACCTCTCAGACAGAATGGACCAAGAAAGGGTCTGTTGTCTTTACTCACTTATAAAGATGAAGTGGTCACTTCAAAACTATCCCTGTGTCATGATCAATGTCAACTCAAAGCAAACAACATTAGGATTTATTCAGTCCATTTGTTTGAATTTTTATTTAAAAAGTAGCTGAAAGTGTCAAAAATACTTCCTTTCCAGCAGAGAGAGAGAAGAAAGAGAGAAGAATTGAAAGTGGAAAATAACAGTTTGCTCATATCCCTATTGTTTACAAAAATCAAAGCCAGAATCTGGATGCTGAAGTCCCTGAGAGGAATTTATTTTGTAATGTTTTTGATTCTTACACATTTGTGCACAAAATATTTATAAATATTTTGTCATGAAGTGCTTGGAATTATATGTCTATGTTCTTCATATTATAAAGTCATGTGGGAACAGGAGGCTGACGGGAAGACACGAGGTCAATTAGTCTGTATTTTGTTTATCCTAGGATCCGGGAAGGATTTACAAAGCAGCACCACATAGCAATGCAGTTATCACAATGGTCTATTTCGGGAAGAATGTGCACCTATCTTATGAAGACACAGACTTTCGAGATGAAATCAAGATTTACCAACAGCACTGTGGAGGAGAGAACCTCTGTATCTACAAAGGCAAACTGCTTGAGAAAGGTACAAATCAATGTGAACTGAGAAAAATGCTTGGGGTTGATGTTCCAGATAAGCTGTTGTTGACATAATAACAAAAGGACTTCAACCACTTTGTGAAATTATGCATATCCAGGGAATTATAAACCAGCTGCCTAAAAGTAAATCTAGCTTCACAGCTCGCCGATGGAGGCTGGAGCAGCAATTACTCCTGTGGATTGTAGAAGAAGGATTTGGAGTTGTTTAACCTGGTAACAGATTCATTTTAGGACAGAGATATAGATGATCATCAAAATGGTTCAGGAATATGCTGTTCCCAAAATCACAAGTTAACTATTTGGTTTGCTATAGTGAATGATATTATAGGTTACCATAGGAGAACAATCATGGGTTGGCAATTTGTTATTTAGAATACATGGTGACAAAATCACAAATTAATAGACACCATGATGAGTCACACCTAAGTAACTTAAAGTAAAAAAAATCCTAAATGTTCTTTTTAGTACTTTTTAGTTTCCTTTGATCCTAAGTCCATCCTTGTCAGCATAAGATATTTTTTATTAACACATGTTCCCACACATTCCCTTCAATATTCAGTTTAGTGGGGCAGCAGTGAAAGGAGACATATTTTAAAGCTGTGTTCAGGCCTTGCTTACATAGGAAACTCTTTTTAGGAAGCACTGTTAGTTTTCAAAACTATATGAGAAATCTTGAAACAGACTGAGGAGCTGGGAAAGGACTGCAGTACATTTGGAATTCATTTTTGTTTTAACTTTCTTTCACCAATCGAAAAGAGTGACTTTAAGGAAAACAGTCCAAAACTTTTAAAGCTACAAATATAATGACATATTTGCAAATTACATGTTTTAAGCTCCCCAAATGAACTAGATACTAGAGTATTAGTTTTAATTTAAAGGAAAATGAAGCATGCTTCTCAGTTTGCTGGGAAGTGTTACCATTTTTACAAACTTGGCAAAAATGTCTAAATTTACTTTGGTGTTTGCAGTCACATTCCAGAGTTCATTCCCATCACTGTAGATGAGGCAGGAGACAGGCTTCCTGAGCTGGAGTGGCTCTGGAAAGCTGTCTGTCTAGCTCTGGCCAGGTTGGGTGGGTTCTGTGGTTCTCTGCTACCCCAGTTGTTCCTGGGAGCCAAGCAGCAGCCTTTTTCTAAAGGAAGGGTGTGAATTCCAAGTGAGCACCGCATAAACTGGAGCAGAATCACACACTCTTATCTTAACCCAAGCAGCTTAGACACAATTGTTTTTTTTTTTTTTTTTTTTTTTTTTTTTTTTTTGGTTTTTTCGAGACAGGGTTTCTCTGTGTAGCTTTGCGCCTTTCCTGGGACTAACTTGGTAGCCCAGGCTGGCCTCGAACTCACAGAGATCCGCCTGGCTCTGCCTCCCAAGTGCTGGGATTAAAGGCGTGCGCCACCACCGCCCGGCCACAATTGTTTTTTAAAAGTATGATGTTTGGGTATTAATTTGGAAGAACTCATGAAATTAGCTACCATCTAAAATTAGAATGTCTATGTTTAGGTGTCTATGTGTGGTGATAAATGGTGTACCCTAATAAAACTTGCTTGAAGATCAGATAACAGATCAAGCCACTAGATTAAACAGAGGCCAGGAAATGGTGGCACACACCTTTAATCCTAGCACTCGGGAGGCAGAGATCTATGTGGATCTTTGTGAGTTCAAAGCCACCCTGGACCACATGAGATTGACTCAGTCTAGGAGAGAACACACATCCAGGCTGTGGTGGCACACACCTTTAATCCCAGTACTGGGAAGCACACACACCTTTACTTCTGGGAAGTGATGGCTGGGTGGAGAAAGGTAGATAAGGCACGAGGAGACAGGAACCAAAGACTTTTCGGCAGAAGGGTCCCTTTCAGTAACTAGAGGCCTTTTTGGCTGGAGACTTTCAGGTGACAACTCAGAATTTCAGTCAGAGGATGTGTGGAGTTGGCAGCGTAAGATGTGGCAGTGGCTTGTTTCTATGTCTCTCTGATCTTCAGGCAAATTTTATTTTATTTTATTTTATTTTTTTTATCTTGCAATAGCCAACTTTATTCCCAGCACCAGTCAATTTATACTCTGAGGGCTAAGCAGAGTCTCACGAGTAAGGTGTTCAATCACAAGGACATGTGGCAAAAACATATTTTTCCATCCAGGCACATGAATAACAATAATTGGAGTAAAGTCACTCCTACCTGGGAGTGATGCACCTGGGCAGCGCACAAAACCACACTCCAAGAACAATTCTGTGTTTTGAAGAGAGTTCGGTCACAAGACTCTTGTCTTGTTTTCTTGGAGTTCTCTCCCACTCAGAGTTCTCACAAGACTCCATTCTTGCACTGTGTTCTGACAGAGGAGTACATTAGTACTTTACTCAACAAATCCTGAGTTCAGGCAAATTTTATTAGGGTACACAATATATCACCACTTCTACGCTTAAAACAATTTCCTAGGTTCTGTATCACACTTGATTCAACAACAAGTATATTAATAACTATTTGCTGGAGAATGTAAGTTATACAAATCAAGTATGATCTGGGTGGCCTAGTAAACAATACACATGGTGGACCAAGGGTGCAGACCATGAAGCTGGCAGAGGAGGGTGCTGCTGGGCATGAGTTATTTTGTATATATACTGATCCTGGGTCTTTGTGTTGAAAGATGATCTTACATAACAGCATGGAATGGGGGACTTAAGTGATTATATCCAGGCTGTAATCTGGCCTCAGCTTGAACTATCACTAGGAGAGTAATTGTTCAAATCTGAAGAGTTGGTTTGTTAAGAAGCTCTCATAAGGTCAGTAACCGGAGAGGTTTATCTGGGCTATCAAGAATCTGCCCTTAGTTGTGTGTGATTCTGTGAAATGTGAACAGGGTTTTAGGTTTCTGTGGAGAATAAATAAAAGACTTTATTCATACTTTTGGAATTATTCACTCATTAAAATGTGGCATTTGTTAATTTTCCTTGCTTCTTGAAAATGAAGAACGATAATAAAAATAATGTAAGAATGGGGGCTAAGAGCATCTTTCTATTACGAAGTCATTCACTGTGCCTGGGATGCTTTGCTTGGAGGAAACTGCAGTCCTTATGAGTCCTTATGGGAACAAAAACATCCCAGGAACTTCACAGGTGCATAAAGAGCAAGTCACTGTGACTCAGACTCTATAAATTTGACTACAATAGGCACAGTCCTTAATAATGGCTGTCTCAGCAGTCCCGGTGTGGCACTGACGACCCAGAGGATCCTGGAGAGATGCTGGTCTTCAGTTATGTAGGGATCCTGAAGAAGAAGATGTCTCTAACACCAGTGAAGGGAGGGATGCCTCAGCCACAGGCTAGGTAGATTGCCTGTGAGGTAGGACAACCAGGCAGCAAGCAAAGCTTCCTTCGTTCACACCCTTTTGTCAGGACGGCCAGCGGAAGGTGCTGTCCAGGTTTAGACTGAGTCTTTCTGCTTCAAATAATCTGATTAAAAAAATCCCAGCTGCTTGAGTTTAGTTGATTCTGGATGTTGTCAAGATGCCAATCACATCTCTTCACTAGGTTCCTAGAGAGGTTTTGATCGCTCTTTTTCCCTCTGTGTGGGAGCGACTTCCTGTTTTGACTTTTCTAGAGTGTGTGTTTTGGAGTCAATGTGAAGTCTCATCCCTAGAATCGTGATGCAGCTAGTGAAGTTTCAAGTTCTCAGACTGGTGTCTGATTTCACAGGCTGGTGTTCATCCATGACTTGGCAGAGGCTCAGACTCTCTACTGGTTGGTGTACTTGTGCAGTATTAGTGTCCTTGGGCCAAGAAAGCAGGTGTCTTTTAATGATGGTGTAAAAAAGTTTATCATCTATGTCTGGAAGCCTGAAATCCAAAATGATGATGATGCTGGGTTGGTTTCTTGCAGAGCTCTAGGACAGAAACCTTCCTTGATTCTGCCCAACTCTGATTCTCTGCGAAACCCAGTCCTCTGCTGGTGACAACTTTGTCACTGCAGTGTCTGCATCTGACTTTGCGTGGCCTCTTTGTGTATGTGTGCTTCTCTTTCTATGAGAACGTCAGCCATTGGGTGCAGAGAAAACCGTCAGAAAGAATGACTTACTCTTAAGCCTTCATTAATGCTCTCTCTGAGATCTAAACAGTGCCTGAACAGTCACCCAGAAGTTCTGAATGATTCTGAACTCCAGTGAGTCCAGGGAAACATTCCATGCCTGTCCAGTTTTCATGCCCCAGCTCCGGTTTCCACCAGGCTTTCTTGTTTGGTCTGTGCCTAGGTGAAGATGCATGTAGACTGGGATTCATGAAACAGGTGGAGTCCACTCTGACCCAGGTTGCTTCCTGAAGCCGTAGGCTGTGTAGCGAGCTGTGGAAGGCTGCTGTGACAGCCTCATTGCCAGTGGCTTCCCATTAAGGTCTGGCCTATTGCTTTCACTAATTAAGGCTCTAGTCTTTGGGAACCTCTGACCTTCCAGGCGAGCTGCTTGGAGGTAGCTGCTTATTAGTGGAAATACCATAGGCCAAGGGGTTGTCATCTTCTGCACCAAAGTATGTCAGCTCTATGGACTGGAAGCTTCTGGGTGTTTGCCATTCTCTGCCCACTCAGTGCACCGGTGAGAAGGCAGCAGGTGTGGGAGAGAAGCCCCAGGCGGAAGCCTGCAGGTCCTCCCTGCCGTCTTAGGAAATTGGATTTTTACATGAATTAAACGCTGCCCACTTTAAATTGTCAGTCTATTTCCAAAGACATATTTTTAAGGAAAGAGGATTTGATGCCCTTACTTCACAATCCAGTGCATTATTCCTCTGTGGCTGAATTATAGATTCCTGAAGGAGGAGACCTCTATATGCACAAGAGTCTCTATCTCTGTGTCTATCGTCTATTTATCCGTCCATCCATACTTGGTATTTGCCCTTCCTTTAGTACCTCAGTGGTACCTGTCATCAGTGAACAGCAAACATCTCGGCTTTGCAAACACTAGGACACTCTAATATCACATAGTATGACATGGATAGGCTGGGGACCTCTCATCCTTGTCATCCCCAAGTTCATCAGTGAAGGATGGGGACAAGGTCTCAAACTCTATGTTCTCTGGCCTGCATTCCTCTGACTACTCCATGAAGAAGCCACCAAGTCAGGGGTGGGAAAAGTCACAGTATATAAAATTATGTGTGTGTGTGTGTGTGTGTGTGTGTATATATATATATATATATATATATATATATATATATATATATATGGTGCCATCCATTTTGTTTTCTTTGGGACAGGGTTGCTCACTACCCTGAACTTCAACAAGAGGCTAAGCCCTAGGATGCACCTGTCTCTGCCTCCCCAGTGCTGAGATTTTAAGCATGTATCCCCAGCCTTGGCTTTTGTTAGGAAACAGTCTCTGGGGATCTGGTTTGGGTTCACCTGCTCACAGGGAAGCATTTGACCAACTGAGCTTGGCAGCACAGTGATGTCCAGCACATGCTACATCCCGATTTCACCCCCTGTACTGAAAAAAAGTTATTAGATAGAAAGTATGTTCTGTAGCATATTGTAGTGTTTGAACAGGACACTGATTTATAAGACACCAGCATGAAGCCAGCCGCTCTCAGGAACGTGTGTTTTTGACTTGCAGACACCTTTCAGTTTATCTCCAAACGACACCATGGCTTCCCCTTCAGCCTCACCTTCTTTTTGAACGGGATTCAAGTGAACAGGCTCAGCTCCTGCTGCGAGTTCAAGCACCGTAGGAGCTCGAGGCTCGGAGGCAAGAGAGGCTACTTCGGGATTGTGAATGTGGAGAAGGCATCTCCTTGCTACAGGTATGGGAGGCAGCACATGCCCTTTGCTAGAGTGACCGCTTCGCCATGTTTCCTTCATTGATTCTTTTTTTCTGTACAGTTAGTTCTTAAGGAAAATGAGTCAGTATATACAGTCTCAAAAACCCAAGTCAAAGATTGTCAACTACTGCCATGAATGTTTGATTTTAAAATTATAAGACATAAACCAAATTTACAGATGTATTATATAGAGAAGAGACAGGCTGGTGGCATTTTAGATTCTGTCTTGCTTGTCACCTCTCTTTTACCTCACACTGCCTTGAATTCCACGTGTGTATGGAGAGGGACCATTTTTTCATGTCTTTCTTGTAATTCTTGCTTATTCTTGGTTAGCCTGAGGCTAACCCCCACGCCCATGTGGTATGCCATCATCTGTCTCTGCGTGTGGATACTCCAGGCTATGCCTACTGGAAACATGCCCACACTCCTAGATTACCCAATTTTGTCTCCTTGTCCTGGTTTCAATATTAAGTGTAATGACTGCTATTTTTATCAACTTCCAAGCAGGGCAGCCTGTCTGAGTCTGGACTCATACTTGGAGGCTTCTTTGCTTTTTCTTCAAAAATAGTCATGTGAAGAATTGACTAAATATCAAGCTAGAACACAAAATATTCATGAAACCATTTCCCCGAGGGAAATAACATACTAATAATCTGATAGAGGTCTAATAAAGATAAGCATGAAGAAAAAAAATGAGGCAGGGGATTTAAAGAGTGACCAGGACCAGGTTGAGGGGGAGTGCCGTTTAATGTAACATAATCAAGAAAAAATCCTATGACTTCCTTAGGCAGAAACCAGAAAGATCTCTTCCTCCAAATAGCTTTTCAGTTAGAAGACCTATGGGGAGGGCAGAGGAAACAGTATTATTATTGGTGTTCAACTTGTGTGATCAGAGCAAAGTAATGGATGGAATAATGTTAGAAGAGGTTAGAGAGGCAGCAGGGATGAGTCCTGAGAAATCTGGAAGTCATTCCCAGGTCTTTGACTTTGACTCTCAAGTTGGAGAGTCTCTAAAGTAGGTGTTGAGCAATGCTCTGTGATGATTCAGTGACAGCTTCTAAGAGAACACTTGAAAAGATTGAGAAGAAGAGTCAAAGTCGCTTTGGTCTGGAGAGTAGGGAATGGCAGGAAGAAATGAAGGGATTTGGTCTGCTGTGTGCTTTGATGGTAGAGTTTATCAGGCTTACTCATGGGTGGATCCAGGCATAAATCTGAAGAGCAGAGTCAAAGATGACTCAAACATTTTTGTTCTAGGGCCTGAAGAGACGGCCCAGTGGCTAAGAATGCTTGCTGTGCAAGCGTGACCACTCGAGTTCAGATCCCCAGCACCTACACAAAATCCAAGCGTGGACACGTGTCTGTAATCCCAGCGTTAGGGTCAGAGACAAGAGTCTGATGGTCAGCTAGTCTCCAAAACAGGCAGTCTGTAGTTCAGCGAGAGACCTTGTCTCAAGAAGGATAGAGTGGACACCTGAAATTCTGCTCTGTTCACACAGCCCATGCTCACTTGGTGCTGTACCCACTTCTCACACCGAAACCAAAAAATGAACACAAAAGTAAAGAAATCAGGTTACTTGAGCAACAGGAAATATGTGCATTTAGTGTGTATTTAAGATCAGCTGTGGAAGATGCAGTTGGAGAGGTGGAAGAAAGGGTTTTTTTTTTTTTTTTACACATGCAGTTTTAATCTTCTGTGAGCTAATGCAAGTGGAAGTATTGATGATGAGTAGCCAGTTGGGTACTGAACCTCAGGTGAGGTGAGATGTCCAGATTCGAGAATAGTTTTATAGTGGTGGCAGTAAAGCCATGGGATGGGATGGACTCTCTTAAGACCACGAGGACTCCTGACAAGTGACCTTTGCACCAGGGAGAAGGGACTGTAGAACAGGAAAGTCAGTTTCTGAAAGTGAATGCTGAGGGAGAATTATCTTGGAAATAAAGTGGTTGAAGAATAAGGCAGTGGCTAATGGAGCCAAATGTGTGGCTAGGTCACACACTGGTACAATGAAGACGGTGTGCCAACCTTTCACACTGCTGTGAACGAATGTCTGCCGAGAGCTGCAGAAGGAGGCTTGTAGTTTGGCCCACGCGGTGAGGGTGAAGGCCACTCTGGTCAAGGAAGCACAGCGATGGGAATGTGCAGAGGGACCCACAGTCAGGAAGCAGAGAGATGAACTACGGGACAGAATCGGACCCCAGCCTGTGGGATGGTACTGCCTAGTTTCAAGTCTTACCCCCTCAGTTAATTCTCTCTAGAAAAGTCCTCACACACACACAAAGGTGAGTCTCACTGATACCACAGACGCTTCTTCATCCTCTCAGGTTGACCATCTGAATTACTCATCTCAACAGGAGCCTGACCATCAACTTGGTGATGCTTATTAGTGACCTTGAGACAAGTTATCCAGGCAAGGTAGCAGGGATTGGAGCTTGATCACAGTGGCCTCATAGAGTAATGAGGGAAATAATGTTACAGAAAATGTTTTGTGGGGAATTTCCCTCTAAAAAAACAGTAGTTGTATGGTCCCAGGATTGTATAGGGTCTGAAAGGTCTTTCAGTTTTCAGGATGGGATATTAAAGGCATGGATTTATATTACTAGATAGTACTGATGCATGGAAAAATCCCAAAGATACACAAGAGGGAAATTGGTAGAGTTCAACCCTTTGGTAGACTTGAGAAACCAGGATTGAGGGTTCCGGTAGAATTTTCAGTCTTGATAAAAGGAGAGATGGCTGTGCAGTGGGTGTTAGATGGTGGGTATGCTGGCCCCAGCTAGGAAGCTCTGTCCATTCTTGCCATTTTATAGAATAAGAAATACTTTTCTTGTTGGATGGTGGTAGCTTACCCAGCACTCAGGAGGCGGAGGTAGGTAGATCTCTGTGAGTTCGAGGCCAGCCCAGTCTACATAGTGAGTTACAGGACATCCAGGGCTGTTACACAAAGAAACCCTATCTCGAAAAAGCAAAAAAGAAATACTTTTCTCACCTGAGGTTGAGGAGGGGTTGGAGGTTTTAGGGAAGAGAATAGGTGTCAGAAAAAAAGTCTAGGGACTAGTAGTGTGAAAGGTCCAGTGCAGGGGTGTCCAGCCGGGCTTTGCACCCACTGCGTTCTGTTTTCAGTTCAGATGCCCTATCTGTGTGCAAATCATTTCAGAGATTTCCACTGAACTCAGTGGAAAATGAATGAGTTTATACTCAGTCATCTGTGTCAAGACAGGGTGTTCGCATGAGAAATATCCCGTTAGGCTCCTGTGTTTGAAAGCATAGAGTTAGTGCTTCTGTGTGGGAAGGAATTTGAACCTTCAGGGAAAGGAGGCTTCCTGGAGGAAGTATGACACAGGGGAGGGCATTGAGCTTTTACATCCTGGCTCACTTCCTGTTCTCCCTGTGTGTTTCCTGCATGTGGATGAAATGGGAGGTCTCTGCTTTCTGACTGGTAGTCCTTCCTTACCATGGTGAACTCTATTCCTCTGCAATTGTAAGCTAAATCCACCTTCAACCCCTGTGTTGACTCTCACGGGGAGTTTCTATCTCAGCAGCAGAAAAGTAACCAATGCCCAGAACAGTCTCCTTGAGCTGTGTAATCGGGAACTGAAATATTGAGCCCTCTGCAGCTTCTTTGGAGGACAAGAAACCAGCAACATGTGACCGCTGACATCCACTCTCCTACGCAGGGCTTTCTAGCTCCTCTGCAAGTCTGTGTTTTAACATGTGGCCGGTCTATTTATTCTCTTGCTCTTTCCAAGACTTTAAAAATAGTTACAAGATTAAAGATTGAGGCCTTTCACCTTCAAGTGATTTACTTACAGTTCTTAGAGAATAGTTACATTTTTTATTAGCTCCCAAACCGCTTCCTTCAGAAACATCAATGAATGCTTGAAGTAGTCTTCTTTGCTGTCTCCCCGTCACAGGTGAGGCAAAGGTCCTCTGATAGTGATAGAAGTGGGCAGGGATGGGTGGACAAGTCTAGAGTCCTGTTTACTTGACTTCTCCACTGGAGATAACTTCAAATATTCCAGTGATTTATTTGAGCTTCAGTAATCAGAATCAACACTGAATTACACTCAGAAACTAAAGAGGTAGTCAGTGATGGGGGAGCCAGATGTTACTCACTTGGTCCAATTCCCTTTGGCAGATGGGCTATAAAGAGTCTGAGCTTGAAACAGGGAGGTTTCAAAGCCTTTACACAGCCACAGCACACATTCAAAGTAACGTGAATTACAGGCTTCAGGCCCTGGGTTTGCTGATGCCACTGATCAAGGAAGAAATGTTTGCACAGAAGGTGAGGCTAATAAGGACATCCTGTGAAGATATGTAGCATCTTTATCCCGGGGAAAGCCACGCACTAAACACATCATAGTGATGGGAAAAGCCCTTATCATGCTTAATTTGGATGAGACACTTGGTTCTCATGCCCTCGAGTCTGACAGCCTGATCTTTAGGTGGAGTGTAAGCACTCTGAGCTTTATCACACAGAGAGATGCTGCAATGTTTGGTGGTAGAACTCAGCTCTTACTTTTTGGGGGAAATTGATTAAGAGCAGTTTCCATGCTACTTAAAGACTGAAGATGTCTGAAAATTCAGTAAAATCTTCAGTTTAAGAAATTGCACTTGGGCTTGGAGATACTTCTGTGGCTGCCCAAGTATGAAGACCTCAGTTTTGTACTGAAGGTATACCAAGCTGGATGAGGCTACGTACTCTTTATTTCTCTACAGTGAGATGGAAGTTACAGACAGTTAGTTCCCCAGGAGATCTTGGGGAGCTAACCTGGTATACAGAGGCTCAGCAGGTGCCAAACCAGATGGAAGGCACAGAGCAACACCTGAGGTTTTCTCTCCACACTTATACACACAGACAGGGCCATACGCACATCATATGCACATGATAAGTAAGAAATTGTCCTTGGATTTGGATGAGGTCGAGGCAGTTTCCAGATTTCATCATCGTTTCCATTGATTGGACTGGACTGTGCTCTGATCCCTTCTCACCTGTCCACGAGTGATGCAGTCCTGAGGATGTGTGGCATGTGAGAGGCACACTTGCGGTTTTGAGAGGGATGATTGTGCAGATGAGTGACCACAGGAATGTCTGTGCGTTATCTAAGGTTATCTACAGGCTTTGGAGGACATTTCTCTAGACAACACCTTCCCAGTGAGAATGTGTGAGTAAGTTCTCTGGTGCACCTAGCAGAGAGGCATTTGTCTGTCACTAATCGTCATAGGGCCACGTGTAGTAACAGAACTCTGTAAAGTAGTGGAGTGGAGTCAGGTGGAGCAGCCACAGGACTCCATCACTAACTTACTAAATGATTTTGAGGAAGCCATGGGACTTTCCAGCCTCATTTTCTCCATTTGTACAGTGGTGATAAGTCAAAATTTATTGTAATGTGGGGTATTGAATCCCCTAAAATACCCAAAATACCGGGTGCAGTGCTAGAGAAGTGACTCAGTGGTGGGTAAAAGCACTGGCTGCTCTTGCAGAGGGCCTGGGTTCTGTTCCCAGCACCCACATCAGGAAGCTCATAACTGCCTGTAACTCCATCCAGGGAATCCGATACTTTCTTCTATGCTCTGTGGACACCTGCACCCCTGTGGTACATGTACATACATTTAAGCCACACACGTACACACAAGTAACAAAAGAAGTCTTTAAAAATGTATCTTAAATGCACAACAAAGAGCTTGGTCCAGGGGGATTTCTGTGACCTGTTGCCATCATAATCATTTTTGTTGATGTGTTACCAGTATTAGGAATTGTATGCTGACGACATCTTGAGAGATGGAAAAGATACATGCATATGTGACAATGTGCTCACACTACTGTGATATAACAGCTTAAAATCTTCACCATACATCTTCAAGACGTCTAGGTGGCTCACCAATTTTGACTTGCAATGACTTCTACATATTGATTCCATTTTTGAAGAACAAAAGTTTACCACCAGTGAATCTACAGAAGATTGCAGAGAAGGGCTTTAAAAGGCATTTTTAAAACCAATCATGGAAATTCTGTTGAAACAAATGCACAGACTCCCACATTACATAAAGGGAACAACAACAGTAGACTGATTTTGTTTCTTAAAAACTAATCACAGGTTTTGAATTGACTGTAAATGCAAGTCGTTAATATGTTCTTAGAATAATAAATTTCAAAGACAATAATATCTTTTTTTCTGATTATTTATATAAGTGTTTAAAAGCTTCATCTTATTTATGTGTACATGCATGTGTATATGTGAGTGTATGGCACATGAGTGTAGGTGCCTTCAGGGGTCAGAAGAGGGATTGGATTCCTTGGGGTTAGAGTTAGAGATGGTTATGAGGCACCCAACACATTTTCTGGGAACCAAACTCGTGTTTTCTAGTCCTTCTAGTTTCTCCTGAGAACAGGAGGAACTCTGCACTGCTGAGCCCTCTCTCCATCCCCTTGATTATATAATACCTAAGGACAGATGGTCTATTTGTCTCTCATCTATCTGTCTGTCTGTCTGTCTATCACCTATCTACCATCTGTATATTATCTATCTATATACTGAATCACTACCTATGTAGCTATCTACTTACATATAAAATACTATATATGTAAATCTATAAAATGTGCTCAGAGGCTTTAAGATATGATTTTTGTAAACATTTGACACTATAGTTCTTGGTTGATGAGAGTTTTAAAATTTCTTGTTATTGACCTTAAAATTAATAATTTATGTTCATATATAAGATTATATTCTATATTATATTTATATTTATATTAGTTTTCATATTAAAAGATTATGACTTATTTTAAACCAGTGTATAAGTACACAAGTAGACTATTTCTCATATTTTTTATTAGAATATTATACACATGAGTTATAAAGTGTGTGACTCTGATAACCTACTATAAATTAATAAAGCCTTCATGCTGATATTTCTCACAGGTGTATTATTGCCATGGGCCTTGACAGAAAACCATCTCCAACAAAACCTAGGAAGGAAAAGACTGTTGAGAAGAAGGAGGAACCACTGAAGAAGAGTCAGGGGAAACTGAGGAAGGACCGAGATAATACACCATCGAGAAGGAACAAGATGGAGGGGAAAGAAACCTTGGTCTCAACCACTTTTTCAGCGGAGGAAATAAAGCCAGGCGTCAGAGAAGTGAGAACAGCTATAGAGGAAATGGAATGGAAGGGCGAGTCAGGACAAGATGTTTGGGAAGAGGACCAGGAAAACGCTTTTAAATACGGTAACCAAGAACAGACTTCCCTTGTTGTTGCTGATGCCTTAAGTTTGAGCATCATTCAAGACCTTCAGAGTGATCTGTGGACTGTTGCTTAGCTCTAATCTGTAGGCAGACATGCCATGCTTCTTTTACTCTTTCTTGTAGAGTTCCAAGTTCTTTTTCCGAGAGGAGGTTTCCTGGCCTAGCAATGTTGATGTACTTTCTGTGTGTATGAGGACATAAAGAAGTTTCTGTCCTGCTAGCCAGAGTCAGAATTCATTCCTGTAAAGACCATTTGACCAAACAGAATTTTGTCTATTTATTTAGTTTTTGACTGTGATTGTAGGAGTAACATTCACTATCCACTTCAGGGTTGATAAGTACAATATATAAGCATTTGGTCCTAGGACATTATACACTAACAGCAGCTTGTATTCATTTCAAAGTCCTAGAGACCGTCAGTCTTGTGTTTTCCTCTCACCTCTCCATCTCCCTCTGCCTCTTCCTCTCCCCCTCTTTCCCTCTCTCTTCTTCTCCTTCCTCTTTCCTTCTCTTTCCTCCTCCCTTACTTCTCTCTATCATTCTCCCTCCGCAAAAATATGTAAACATGCAAACACGCTCAGACACACACACACACACACACACACACCCCTGCACAGTGGAAGTAGCAATGATAACACTGCCAGGCTCAGAGCAGTGTGCCGGGCACTTCCTCTCTCTCTCCATTGTTCCTCTCTGTCTCCACTTACAGCTGGGAAGATGGGTCTCACTCACGCACAGACACCATACCTGAATCAGATCCATACCTGTGTGGATCTACTCTCAAATTATTAAGTCATTCTCTCTGTACCAATGGTCTCAGGTACTGCGTGGCTGCCTGTGATAATCCTAAGGAATCAGGAAGGGTGAACTGAGTGTTTCTCCTTACACACAGAACACAAAGGCTATCTTAGAGCAACAGTGGCCACAGGTCAGGGTTTGCTGTGGAAGGTCTGGCCTCTTAGAATCTCCTTTTTTATGTTGCTGCACAAGGATTTCAGAAATCCTGGTGGGGGGCACAAACCAGAGTGTGGAGCCTCGTGTTGATGATGGAGATAACGGGGCTACTTTAGCTGGGATTTCACTCGCAACGCTGGCACCCTGTTCACTTCTTTCTACAATCCTTCCCACTTCTTACTCTTCCCTGGACTGGGGGATTTGAAGATATCAGAGGTCACGGCAGTGGTTACAGAGAGCTTCTTCCCAGTGATTCCTCTCATAAGATAGAGGTTTGAAGAGGCTGGGCTGAGGCCTCTTTCCATTATTTTCCTCTTTTACAAACATGGCTGTGTTAGGACCATGCCCTTTGGCCTGAGTTCTGTCTTCTGTGTTGGTGAGTTAATGGGTTTTAATTGCCAATTCCATGAGGACCCAGAGAGAACTAGAGTTATGTCACAGCTCTCTGCTCGGCTGTGGCTCATCATGGAGCTGGAGCCAGGTTAGGAGAGACTGTGCCACACCTGATCACCTGGTGCTCCTCCCCCTAAGTGGGGATTCAAGATAACACTCCAGCTGAGTGTTCTAGAAGAACTTGGGAGGAGGGCAGAAGCTGGTAGAAGAAGGGTGTCCCAGCTCACACCACCGTTGCAGCACACACCACCGTTGCAGCACACACCACCGTCCCAGCACACACCACTGTTCCAGCTCACACCACCATCCCAGCACACACCACCGTCCCAGCTCACACCACCGTCCCAGCACACACCACCGTCCCAGCACACACCACCGTCCCAGCACACACCACCGTCCCAGCACACACCACCGTCCCAGCACACACCACCATTCCAGCACACACCACCGTCCCAGCACACACCACCATTCCAGCACACACCACCGTCCCAGCACACATCACCATTCCAGCACATACCATCGTTCCAGCTCACACCACTGTTCCAGCTCACACCACCGTTCCAGCTCACACCACCGTTCCAGCTCACACCACTGTTCCAGCACACACCACCGTCCCAGCACACACCACTGTCCCAGCACACACCACTGTCCCAGCACACATCACCGTTGCAGCACACACCACTGTCCCAGCACACACCACCGTCCCAGCACACACCACTGTTCCAGCACACACCACTGTCCCAGCACACACCACTGTCCCAGCACACACCACTGT